ATTGATCGTCACATGATAATGCCTCCAGGGCTGAAAGGGTAAACATATTCGGTGACGGGATTCGATCCCGCAACCCGAAGATTGGGAGTCGAGCGTTCCAACTATCAGACCTAGTTGCCTTGTTACGGAATTTAATACACCGCCATAAACTACTTTTATTTCCTTTAATAAATAACTACCAAATGATATCAGATAATGCTATTCTGACGTAGCATTTCTAAATATATAAGTAAACAACTGTGTTGTTTGTTTAACAGATTCGAAAAGAAGACGGATTTTATGTACGGTTAAATTACATATATTTAACAGAAATCAAATTGTCAAATTTAGAAGTAAATAAACAATCCATCTTGGATATTTGCTATTAAGCACAAAGCCACAAATAGTCATCTGTGCGGTTCTCTCCACTAGTATCGAAACTCGATTATTAGCGTTATATGCTCTTACTTACCACTGAGCTACGGGGGGGGGATACTTCTGATATCTAAGTTAAAAGGCCATGGCCAAGTGGTTAGTGTGCTGGAATGTCAATAGAGAGTCTACGGTTCGTGTCCCGTTGTCGCAAATTGTGGTCCACACTTTAGGACCCTTGTTACGTTATAACAGCGACAGTCAAGTCCCACTATTCAATTAGAGTAATCCAGATATTGTCAGTGGGTGCTGTTGACTATCTTCCCCACGTTTATAACATTTGAAATTCAGAGACAGCTAGTACAGCAGCTCTTCAGCACATTTGCGTGAACATCCGAAACAAAGTCACCTTTTTTTATCAAGGTTGTTTGCAAAAGCATCTAGCTTGCATATTTTCCTTACGTGACGAGATGGTTTTTATACCATCGTTGAAAAGGCTTTTTTAAGATGTACAGCAGTTCATTGGATATTTTGTTTTCTCCTCGAAAGTCTATAGTCAAAGTTTATACCTTTCTCTTTTTTTTTTGTCAAACTTTACAGGTAGGTGGAAGCTAGTTTCTATTTGTGACCTACAACATTCAGTGAAAGTTGATATTAATTTGAATAATTTAGTGTTAATACTATTATATTATTGATTCTACTCTAAGGTCTATATAATCTAGAGTAACTTAAACTTTTAACTTACCCAACTGTACTATGTAGAACGTAGTGTATTCAAGTATGAGAGTAAGAAACATAATGATAAAAGAATATTTGCGCAACGTTTTATGTGATAACCATAACTTAACTTGTTGCTTTTGCAATAACAGAGTAAATTCTAATTCAAGTCTAAATGTTTTTATAAGACAAGTAGCATAATTTGCTGCATATTTAGCTCAAATGTGTCCAACACAAAGTAGATATTATGATCACTAACTTTGATTTTTCCTAAATCATACCTTTATTTGTCTACTCTTTTCACTATGTATATACTACGCCAGCAATACACGCATTTACACTTTAAACATATGTTTATTAACAACACTAAAGCTCCTGCTTACACACAGGCATTGTTAAGGCAGAAAAAATCACATCTGCAAAAACAATTGTTTATCAGATAAAATAATTACATTTATCAGAATGTTTATAAATACAATCCTTGATTCAAAGACTCCAATATTCATTGAATGTCAAGATAATATCAGCTTATAGCTAAAATTTCAGTTTAATGACACCTGCTCGTACGTAATTCATGATGCCTGAAGTTATAAATGCATACGCTGAAAGCTAGACTCATACAGTTATTTTGCTGTCATTAGTATTGTTGAGAATTTAATTTAAACAATATAAACAATAGGAACAATATAAATTAATGCTTTATCAGCACAGTGCACTCACATGACTGGGCATGAAAGGTAAGTTTTTAGTTACTAATAACATTAGGAGTAATTAATGTATTTTTCTGCATTCCTAATATTCCAATGACATACGTAAGAACAATATAGGTAAGTTCTTAACGAATTTTAGTACAGTTTCTCTCACGCTGTTTCTGCAAATACAGACAACCGTGGCGTAAAGTATTTTAGAAAAATAAATTTGTTTCTATCTTATGGATATTCTAAAGCAACTTTTTTGTATTTTTTGTCATCTTTCGTTTTCGTTAAAATTATATAATGACGGCAATTTCGTTCACTCGTTGTCGCCATTCTTTAGTTATCAGAAAAATAAAAGGCTAAAACTCTAGTTGTTCATCTGCGAAAACCTCGAATTAGGTAAGTTTAGCAAAGAAACGTAGCACCAACCGGACTTGAGGTCGAGTATAAAAATCAAACTTATAATTACAATTACATCAGCATTATTAGTTGCAATTACAATTACAAGTACAGTGATAGTTTGTTCAATTACAATTACGCTAAAGAAAATGAATAATTTCAATAATTGAAATTGTGCTAAAATTCAGAAGCAAACTGCATTACTTTTACTTGTTGAAACAAATGAGGCCATGAACAGTTATTTTCATTAACAACATCACTGTCTATTACATCTGAAGAACTCTAGATCATCTAATCTAGTTTCTGAGCGAAAACATCAATCGGTCCTGAAGATCTTCCAAGTAATTGTAAACAGGCGCTTATCTGGGCGTTGCACTTTATTAAATGGCTTAGTGGAGAATCTCAAGTAAGATGACCTGACATTGTTGACAAAAAAGACAGTGTGTCTGCGTCCTCCTGGACTCAAGGTTGGTCAAAGTTTTTCTAGACTTGAGGTATGGTTGACTTAAACAACCTTCAATATTTGTTTGTTTGTTTTTTGGAGGAGAACACTCATAAGGTGGATTTTTGTTGGTAAGCATTTGCTTGATTTTGTTAACTTCTGCTATGATGCACCAATCAAGTTTTCCAATGTGGATCCAGTGATACAGCTAATCATTCTTGTGCTTTACCAAGTGATTGTTAATATAGGATTTTAGTGCTGAAAACATTTTAGACTTGTAGGTGTTTTGTAGTTCAGACAACTCAACTCTAAGTCCACATATGCATTGCAGTACACAATTGGTATCTAGGAGCTGTCTTCAGTTCAACCAGAAGCAAGATCAAATATGCTAATGATCTATATCAACTACATCTTTGAAGTTTAATTCGTAATTGGAGATCTTACTATGGAAGTGAAGCAGTTTAAAATGATGCTATATTTCTCTTTGATGGTTTATTGTTTTATCTAATAGGATTGACAGCTTACAGTTTGTTCTCCACTTCAATGAGCTATTTGCCAAGTTTGAATGACGCACATCATAGATTAGTTTGCATGGTTAACAATTGTCTTCTATGTTTCTATACTGTAATACCGGTTGGAGAGTACGAGCAAAGCAGGAAGGGTAACGATGCAGGTAGTTGTGTTCGTGGCTTGTATCCATTATCACTGTCATCCTCAGACCAATTGTAATGCTTTAGGTCAGAAAGAATGAGAAATGTCGTCAGTATGTTGACAGTATTTTCAGTACTATGGCCACGACTTTGTCCTCCAGTCTCAAGCTAGAGATGGCTATGCTGTAACTGGACAGGATGTTGTCTGTCTTCTGTGACCCCATGAATCTCCTACAAACCAGCATGACACTCTTCATTTTGAAGTTATAGATAAAGTAACCAATGAATGTTATAATGTTTAAAATACAGGAATGCGACGGCCTAATGATAGCTCAATGTTAAACATAACGTGGAATTGTGAACCATTAAGTTCGGTAAGGCCTGTCTTTATACAGAACTGTTAGTTAGCAGTTCACATGTTTTTTAACTGAAGTGTAATTAATTTGGATCATTGGTCTCTGATCAAAGTGTAGTTCTTCATTTCTTGTTGATAAATGCAATTAGATTTGATTTGCTGAAGCTAGCATTGTTGCTGAAATTTTCATTCAGCAAAATTACCCTGATATATAGTGTATTACATATGTTTATCAACTTATGAAACATAAGCATTACAAATAAAGGCGTAATTGGACTGTAATTGGCGAGTTATGATAATTTCGTGATATAATTACAATTATGCAGGTGTGTTAAATTACAATTACAACTACAGTTACCTTGTAACTAACTTCGAATTACACGATTACATTTGTAAATGACACTAGGTAAACATTGAACTGAATGTGTCTTGTATGATTTATCAAATATTTACCATGAGTAAAATGTCAAATATAGAATCAAATGTGCATTAATGCTTTCCAACTCGCCTGATTTGCTGTTGCACTAAAGTTAAAAGTATGGTAATAATATCCTACTTATAGCATGTTTGGACATTAATCTGGAGACTTACTGTGTTCCAAAAACTCATTAACACGTTAAATATAATGTGCTAACGATAATATTTTACATGTAATGCTACAATATGACATTAATTTTATGTATTTCAATCAAAGTAATATATCTTAAAATTGGTTGGAATCTAGTAGAACTATTTTGGGTGACTCGTGAATAGCAATTTAGAATACAACCACTGGAGAGTGGTTTACCTCACGTAAAAGGATTTACATTGTCTGTGTGGGCTTGTTCTTGAGCGACTATAATATAGCACAAGCTTTTTGATAAAGCCTTAAAACCGCCTTTGCGTGTGCTTATAACTGAATGATTTTCTAAACAAATAATGGAAAACCTTTCTCTTAAATCTACCATAATATAGAATCGCCATCTACTATATGATCATTTTGTTATACAGTCGTACTTAATACGTTAGAAGAGATCAATATTTTCAAAATAATATATACATATACCGTACTTAAATATGATACGTTTTGATTAATTTTTTTATTTTTGTTCAACGAAACAAATTTGAAGAAGGTCAAAGATATTTATTGGAGATTTTGATTTTTTTATTTTCTTAGAAATAACTTTAAATGCAAAATTTTAAGCATGTCACTAAAATTTTGAAATTATCTATGTATGACATATTTAATAGATTATAAAATGTATTTTGTGTTTAAAATTCTCCAAATTATTTATATATCATTATACATCTCTTACAAGACTTTCTTACATAACCATTTACTACAGACTGTAAATATGACACAAATGACTATAAACAAAACTGATTCAAAGTGTTTCTTTTTATTCTTCCAGAAACTCTTCTAACTATGACTGGAAAGACACTATGGCTGCCGAAGGCAACTCAAAAGATTCACTTGACGAAATATGTCCTGATATAATACCAGGTAGATTCATTAAACTGGCTTTTCTACTGCCCAATATAGTTTAAAATATTTTATACAAACTAGTAGGCTTAATTATATTTCCCTCAAAATTTCGTATTAAATGACATCCAAATTGATATTTATTTCTACCGACATAGAATAAACAACATTTACACGTCAACTTCTAAACTGAGGTAAGTTGTGAGTTAAGTGCTAGTGTTACAGACATCTTCTCTATCATTCATCGTGCTCAGTCTGACTACAATTGCACTCTGTTGTTTGACACAGTAATTTCCATTCTAAGAAACTTCTATGAAGGACGTCGAGGTCAAACTTAGACCACACATCTTAGCCTTTCTACAGATACACCACTAAACATGCAAGTTGGCTACCAAGACTATTGAAAATGACTGTGAGGATTTGGCAGGGTATTTCATCAAACTTGAACACTGTGGTTCAAATTTATTCAGCCATCTTTCTCATGAAATTCACCGTTGATTTCGAAAGTGGCGGGAAACTTGCGACCTTTGGACTTATAAGCCTTGTTCAACATCTTGTTAACAATATTAATTATAGAAATAAATGACTTTATAACACCAAAATATTGTTTTAATTTAACTGCACTCAACGTTTCGATTTACAGCTTCTTCAGAAGCGTTCACTAAAGCACAAACCGAAACTGACAGCACAATGCTTCAAATGGTTTAAATGAGGTCGTTATGAGGTCGTTTATTTCTACTATTAATATGTCTTCTATAATATGCAATAGAGAAAATAAATATATTGTTATCAATACCAAGATATATGTCCTGCTTCATCATAGTATTGTTATTGATCAGAAGATATTATTTCTTGAGAATAGCTTTCATTTTCATTTTTACTGCATATTTGCTTGGGGCGTTGTTTTGCCCTCAGTGTTCTGTTGTGAAACGTTTACATATTTCGTCATGAACATTAGAGAGTCATTTCTCTTAATGTTGCCTACCTCGATTCTACATTCTTTCATAATCTTGCTATAATAATATTCTTATTAAGGATGGTTTATATCCTACAGACATTAGCCACTCGAAGCAGCATTGCACTGTCGAATAGTTGCGAATTCGCCATGAATCAAATATGTATCTATCAAACATCTCGTCTGTGGCACCATGGCTCTCTGCTGCAGCCACATGCCACTACATTACCATATAGAAATCAATCATAGATATCTTGAGCATTCATGATATATGTTCCGCTGTTCTTTTTTACTCTAGTATACATTTGCGTTTATCTACAAAGTATTGATTCCTTGGTAAAACCTCATAAATATATATATATATATATATATACATACAAAGTTCCAGAGAAACACGATGCAATAAGCATCCACAACTGTCCTTTGTCAGCAAAGTTCACAATAATATTAACACAATTACATCAACGTAGTTCACTATATCGTGGGAGTGAAAAAAAACTTTTCATAGCTGAATTGTTTTTACTGGTCTTTTTTATCGAAAACCAAATTATGCAAAACAAAATGTGAATTTTTCCATTTCAAAATGTATTAGTGTTTTCTACCATCCAACTGATACTATTGTTTTTGTTATACATATTTAATAAGTGAAAGTAAAGAATGAAATGTGTGGCTGACAGAGGGTTCTACTCTAAGGAAAACTCTAAGAAGAAATTAGATGACAAAAGATTAATTAGTATTTAATAAATGACATACTGTATGAATATAATACTGAATGTCTTCATGGCCCTTAGAATAAGTAGTCACAGTAAAATTACATTTTTGTGAGATCAAGAATGAGCACTCGAGACTTCTGATGTATAAAGAGGAAGTATTCACAACTTGCAGTAAGATACAATGATAACAGTTTAGACCTTAGGGTCTTTTTTCTTTCAAATCCTATTGTGTTCCACTGCTAGATATTAATGACCAAAGGAACAGCAGAAAGATGCAGAAATCCACAGGAGATGTCTACAAGTATAATATAGTATGAACTCTTGTTTTGTATTTTAATTTGTAGAGAAAATATTATGTTGACTTGGATGTGAGAATGGAGGCTTTATCGTTATGGAGTGTTACTTATTAGCTTGCATTCCGTAAAAAGACAGAATTTTGTCGCGGTGAATGATGTAAACACGCTAGTCTGGAGCCATGCAAAGCTCACTTTGGCATTTCTTTTGACTCTCCGGATGTTTCACTTATCACTACAGCTATAATCTGTATCCACCACGTATTTTCTGTGCGATTTTGGAGAATAAATACATCACCTGCAGGACAATAATACATAGCCCTAATTTTATTTTAAATATATATTTCGTACGATGTGAAGATACACTTCAATTTGTTACATGTTAGATACTGGCTCGCATATGTTTCAACAGGTGGATTTCACATCAGGTATACGCTTTCAGATAAGCCTTGTAAACAAGGTTCTTGTGTCGTTTTGTGCAATTAACTCCCCTGGAATAACATTCCAGGAGAGGATTTTAATTAACAGCAATGGGTTGGTACTCTTGGTTTACTTCCAGTAGCAAGTTGTTTAACCCTGTTCATTACCTCAAGTATACAACTGGTAGCAGGTCGATAAATGGCAGTTTTTTTTTCTTTTGGTTTTTGTTGTCTTAGGGCAAAGTTGCACAATAAGCTATCTACATTCTTCGATTCCTCACGATAGACAGTCGGGATTTCAACATTATAAGTCCATACATTTTCCTGCTGGAACCTAAAATTATTTATTTCTTCTGTACGCTATATTATTTGCCTCGCGTGCTTTTATTATCGCGGAAAAGAAATTCATTTCAAAATATCCTATAATGCAACCTTTCTAGAAGGGGTTACTTTTAAGAGTCGGCTGCAATTTCAAACCACAACACTTCAAATGAGTTACAACAAGAGGGTTAGGGATTTTAACCTGTGTGAACATCATGTGCATTATCAGGGGTATTCATAACCATGTGTTGTTTTCTTTTGCACAATACCTAAAATTCGGAATAGCACGAACTCTTTTTGTAGCAGACTTTTTATGTTTGAGTTTTCCAGTACATAACTATGAGCAGTCTTTCTTAGCATGTTTTATTGTATTAGAAGTTTAACCTTTTCTCAGAAAAAGCAAGCATCATTCTTAGACTTGTTCTTTGCAGTTTTCTATTTCAAGAAGGTACTTGGTAATTAATATTAATACGTCTAAGAGGCGAATTGTGTTCGGTGAGGAGAAATAAATTTGTCTGGGACTAATTGATTGAAATAACTCCAATTCCTTTTGCTTAAAAATATGTACTACTACCATTTTTAACACTTTTTCTGTAACGAGCACTTATAACTATTGTATGTTAAGGTTTAAAATGCAAAGATAGCTAGAATTACCAATTAATATAATTTAAATATTACCTGTGAATCAACTCCTTGACTTATATTCTTACTGTTGAAAAATCGCGTAATTTCAAATATTTTATAAATAAATAAAATCAAGTTGAAGGTTTTCAAATGTAAACTTTCTTTTCTTATAAATAAAGAAAACTGAGAGAACTCATAATTCACCACTGAAGGAGAAAATATACCTCCCATAAGTTCCTTGTTATGTAATTGATCTTCAGCTGAAATATTCATATATCTTATTTTATACACTATATTGGAAAACCAGAATCCTATCAGACTACAAATGTACTCTTGATTAGTTCATGTGTAACACATAGTGTATACAAGTGAACCGCGATAGTATCCAAGGAAGATTTGAGTGTCAAGAAATTTCAACTTTAGAGCCTTGCGTACACACACAAATGTGAGTCATTATCAGGTGTACAGCCGAGCTCTAAGGTATTTTTCCAGCATTAGTTTTAATTTGAGAAGCAAAACAAAGATTCTTGTACTAAAGTATACTAAAAGTAAAACCATTTGTTAATTTGAAATGATTAAATCGTAAATTATATGTATTGTTTTACACAACTATTTTAAGTGAACCACCTTTATGACAACCTTCAAACGTTCAAAATTTATTTTACTCGTTTTACCATGGATATAGATGGTGTGTCAACATGTGGATTGAGTTTTATATGGACTCCTGCCAACGTTTCTTCAGTTAGAGACGATATTTGGGCGGCATGCCGGAGCGGTAATGGACTCGGTATAGAGTTCCAAATGTCGTCTACAAATTGAGAAAAAATAGCAGAAGTTCCTGGAAAATTCAGTCTACATCTACAGAGGATTTTCAAAGTAACTATCATCAGATTGAAATTTTATTGATGTATATAAATTATTTCTTAAGTTAAAATAATTAGTTGTAATTAGAAAGAATAAAGGGTTTACGAAGTTAATTGCAAAATGAAAATGGTTTATCAGAATTAAAAGACGTTTTCCTGAAAACAGTTTTACACTATTTGACATCTCGCAACCGATATTGTTTGGTTGGTATTTCATTAGAATTATCTTTTGAACAACTTCAGGAACGGAGATCAGACTTAATAAACAAAGACAATAATATTGCAGCATTTAAAAGCTAAGAGCATCCTTACTCGGTATGAGAGCAGTATGTCTAGTAAAGTTTACATTATATTGTTGAAACAATAATATTCCTCTGACGACTGAATTAAGAATATAAAAAATTAGAGGTAACAATATAACTATGACATCTCTTTTATCTGGTCATATAACAAAAGAAGATTATGTTACTGGCGCCCTCCAGTGGCAAGTTTTCGGACTTGTAACGCTAGAAACCAGATTTCGATACCCGTCGTGGGCACAGCACAGATAGCATATTGTGTATCTTTGTGCTTAACTACAAACAAACTAGCAGTTATTGGTAAGTTCTCAGAAAAAAGAAAAAAGCACAGCCTTTGTAATAAGAAAATGATTTTTAAGCGGTTGAAGTTATTGGCGGAGGACAATGCCGCATGTTTAAACTTAGTTTTGAGGAGATATTCTATGTTTGGTGTATTATCTTTGTTAAAACTATGGAAGGACTTACGAGTCTCATAGATACATTCAAATGGAAAAAAAGAGTTATTTGAGAAAAATGTTTACGGGTAGGTAGACA